TCGGGGACCGGGTGCTCTCGGGTGCAAGCAGCCCTTGTAGATTTTAGACGGCTCGTGCAGCCTTGGAGAGGGGAAAGAAGAAGGAATTTTAAGGAAAAATCATTTAACTTTTCTATAACAATCACAGGTTCGTAGCACAGCCCCTCTCATCTCAGTCACTAATATTACCATACAGATGCCAGCCCGCATTTCCTATACCAGCTCCTGTCCTAGGGCAAGTCCAAGGTAATTGAGACCGATGGCTATTTTGCTTCCTGTGCCATCTCATAACGAACAGTAAATTGTCGTGACAAGTGAAGCCAGATATGTCACGCCGCTTAATGCTAGCAGTGTAAATTACCCTAACTTCATGGACGTTCCTAGTGGCTTTCTAGGGCTGTGTCTGGCATAAAAGAGCCTGAAAATACCAATTGAAAATAAAGCATAACTAAGCGGAAAGAAAGAAAAATGCAGTCATTAAAGAAGGTATTTAGCATATGGACGAGGCACTCATTTAATATATTCCCCTCTGTTACTTGTCTCTGTTGAATCAAACCCAAATTATTACTAGTGCTTACAAACCCAGATAAAGCAGCAAAGGCTCACAGCCAGTTTTTGCTCAGATATGCCAGGTATTTCAGTAACTCAGTCTGACTGTAAACTGGTGAATGAATGATACCATTCACGGACATCCTCCCTCACAGCTTGACACTTTCAGGAAGACGGTGTTGACTTGACCGTTGCTTTTTAGCCAAAAGCAGTATGCCACTCCCTGAATTAGTGCTTTGATGTCATTTGTGGGGACTGATGAACAAAAATGCCTTTTCTTAATCGCCTCTAAACACATATAGAAGGAAGGTCTTGAAGGTATGATACAGTAGCAAAGTAAGAAGTATTTTCCACCCTAGTTTATTTGTAGTTAAGTTGTACTATAAATATAACTAAATGCCCATTTTATGAGTAATGTTCCAACTTAATTGGGAGAACAATGAATAAAACAGCATAGATGTAGATTAAAAAATTGCCATGGGTGAATGTTTTCTGAAGTTAATAGTCTGTATTTTTTATTTAGCACTGAATACCTGTACTAATTCCCATGCTATATTTTTGTTTGTAGATCCTAGTAAATGTGGGCAATTTTTTCACGTTGGAGTCTGTCTTTGTAGCACCAAGAAAAGGAATTTACAGTTTCAGTTTTCACGTAATTAAAGTCTATCAGAGTCAAACAATTCAGGTACGTTGATCAAGTATGATTATAAAATCTTTTACTTAAATTGTTTATTTAGCATAGGATCTTGGCTGAACACAAGATTATTTAACATGCTTTGAAGGAAAAATAGCTTAGTTTAAAGCAACCTGTGGTGCAGAGCTCCTAGCAGTAGAGTGAATATGTTTAAGCTGAAGAGCTGTAACAAGGCGGGATCCTCACCTCAGATAAATTGCCGTAGCTTCGCTTCTACACCATAAGAACTGAGTATCTGGGGTGCTGTAAAGCGTTAAATAGAATGAATCATCCAAGATTAAAACAGAGCTCTAAATTTCACTTAATTGCATAAATACTATTGAAGAGTCATATTTTGCTACAGGTTAAACTCACTGTCTTGAACATAGGAGTTGTGGGACTACGTACCAGATATGATTATTTTTGTAACATTTTGTGACCTGACTGCTAGCTCATCATGCCAGGCATCTGTTTATGATACCAGTCTGCTGTGGACCAAGGTTAGTTAAGGTGGTGTCCTTGTTCTATACTACACCGAAATATTATACCTCTACAGGGATGTCTTCTAGGGAACCTTTATAGCAGTTTAAACTTTTTTTCACCATGTAATACATAGAAAATGTGCCATATATTAAAAAAAAGAGTGACTCTGCACTTTCTTCTGTAGCATAATAGCAGATAAACTACCCAATTAAATATAAGTATGGACTAGCTTAGAGGAAAAGCCTGTAAGTTCCTGAACAACCCCTTGCTGAGCCAACAATAAATTCCTTACATTCCCTTCCCTCATCTTCATGCCAGGTCTGTGACATACATACTGGTTTTCTGGATCTGGAATAACATCTGTGGCCTCCCTTGTTTCCACCCATGAGACCACAAGATGTATAGAAGTATTTGATGCTTTTCCCCTGATCTGTCTTGCTCCCAAATATGGCTTTCAGTGTACAAGGCTGAGATGAAATGGATTTCTGCAGGCCTGGTCAGCCATTTCTCTGTGGCAGCTCTGGCTTTGGGTTGCCAGTAAAGCTCCTGAGAAAAGTGTGAATGGTAGAGAAGGCAGAGAAAGCTGGTGCAAGACACATTCACAGCCTTGGTGCAATTCACCTTCAGTTTACAACAGGACATCACGGTTGCATTCAGGTCAATGACAAAGGTCTTAGATGAAATAGTGACCTCATGAGAATCTCTGTAATGAGCTTATAAGCTGTTCAGTATGCTCAAACTTTGTTCCTTTCACTCTCTTGAAAGCTGAAGGTTGAAATGGCTTAGAATGACTCTATGTCAAGCAGCTTCACTGTTTTTAAAAGCCATATTACCAAGAAAGATGCCAAGGCTTGGATTCTGGAAGTCCAGTGCAGATCTTTGGTGTCTCACATACCAGGGGCTCAAACCTGGGAGTTTGGGGCTCATAACAGGGAATGTTACAACCTCCCACATGACCTGGAATCTTTTGTAGTTCAGGAGTTTCTGAAGTGGTGGATGGGTTTGGTTGGCTTCATTTTGGCATAGTTAACGTGAGACCATCTGAGGCAAATCTGTGATGTGTCTTCTGCTGTGATCAAAATAGCTGTAAGATGATCCGCAGGGGAACGTGACCTAGAGAGATGGTATAGAAGGAATGAGATAAACCAAAACCAAGCAATGAGTCAACTCCTGATGCCCTTTTTTTTGCATGTGTGATAACTCGGGAGGAGGACCGAAAGCCATTGCAGTGGAGCAAACCAGCTTGAGTCTCAGCCACATGCAGACCTAAACACCACTAAATCACCTGAAGGCTTCCTACATAAGTGATATTACTATGCCCCTGGAACATCTGTTAGTGCCATTAAATATCATTAAATTGAAATTGGTTCCCTGGGGACATCTGATTAAGTGGATTTCCCAGATAGGCGAATCCCAAATCAGGGCCAGATTCTGCTGCCCTGACTTATGCTGAGCACTAATTTATTCCATGGCGACTCCCATTAAAATTAATGGGAGCATATGCAAGGCCAGCATACTTGATATGAATAAGCATTTCATAATTCACCCCTCTGTGACTGCATTATAGCTGCTTAAAAAGAAAAAGCAGAAGAAAGCTAATAGTTTGCCGTTGGGGAAATAAAAAATGCCTGGATCTGTCCGTTCCCCCAGCCCCTGCCCATCTTTATTTACAGAGTGTCTGTGTGATGTTGCTTTCAGAGCAGCACCCGTGCTGACTTTCAGAAGTGTTTTATAGAAAAATGGATTCAGTTCCAAAACACAGTGCAGTGGTTCATAAAGGTAAAGGTCTGTTCTAGACTTTAAAACTTAGCTGCCGTCAGTAATGGAAGGGACATATATTTTGCTCTCAATGAAGTGTAAGCTCCCAGCCTACTGCAGTACCTTTGAGATCTCATTAGGTGCCTACATCGCATCTCTGGGTGCCTAAGTTTCTTGAAAATGTGGTCTTTGCTAGTGCATGTCTAAATAACCGGCGAGGTAGGCAAAGGGAAACAAAGCGAGGTAATAGCTCACAGCTCCGCATTATCAGAGTTACAACAGTTAACATGCCCAAGCAACGGTCGAAAGCAATGCCGCGTTACCTTTCGCACGGCCTGAGCCCGGACCGTGGCACGCAGTGGACCGTGTCCCACCGACTTCACTCAGCTGCAGGTCTAGCCCATGAAACACAAACGTGCTTCTACACTCCAAAGAAATGTCATTATTAGTTTACACCAAAACAAACCAAAAAGCAGTGAAGACTGCGACCTTAGCAGACCTCTTGCACTGTAGTTAATATTCAGTGATAGTTCTTGATGTTTTTCTGTTAATTAGAGCTTTTCAGTGGTTTTTCTCTCGTAGGTTAATCTGATGCTAAATGGAAAGCCAGTCATTTCTGCTTTCGCTGGGGATAAGGACGTCACGCGTGAAGCTGCCACTAATGGAGTCCTGCTCTATCTAGACAAGGAGGATAAGGTTTACCTGAAATTGGAGAAAGGTAATCTGGTCGGTGGATGGCAGTATTCTACGTTTTCTGGCTTTCTGGTCTTTCCCCTGTAAAGTCAATTTTCCTGTGACATTCATCCAGGTGTGGACTCATCATTGCCTCTGTTACATGAAGATCATTTTATCATCATGGGATTGATGTTTCTTGATTGGTTTTTCATGGGTGAATATGGATTCTCTTTATGGATTTTGGCCCCATCTGAACTACTCAGAAGTTTCACAGAATTTTGTGTGTTTAAATACAATATATTTGGATTGAGACTAAAGCAGACAATAAATATCTGTGCTTAATGTTACAGTCTAAAGCTGCCTGCAAGATTTATTCAGATTTCATTTACTGGACTTAATGGATTCATGGGAGAAGTGGATTTCATTAATTATGAAAAGACTGGCAACCAGGTCTATAATTTAGGAGAGTTTGAGTTCAGACTTCAATCAAGAGTTAGTGTGTTGCTGCCAAAGAACTGTATATTGATATATTGGTCATACATGTTTTTGTCATTGGGACTTAACTGACGTGATCTATTCCATTGTCTTGAGAAAGGTAATTATTATTGATAAGTGGTTGACTTTAATTCTCCTCTGCGTGTCGTGTGTTGGATGGTTCACCCACATATTTATGCTCTGTCACCGGTCACAATCAAGTCTAGCCTACGTAAAGCTAAGAGGGTACGGTTGTATTTTAGTTGGATATGTAAGGTATTCCTCTTTTCCACATGCTGTTTTCTAAAAAGAAGAGCAGATTATAACCATTAAGAAAAATATTCTTACCAGGGTTAAAGGTGATCATTCAGGCACAACTTTGCAAAACAGCTTTGCCCTGCAGGAAATCTCACACTTGTTCTTCAATTTTAATTAACGTGATTGATAATAACTGCTTTATTAAAAACCTAAGGGATTCCTTCCTTAGACACAACCACTTTATTAGCTGGAGATGAGATCCCCTTGTTTGTAATTATGTCTATTTTTCAAACCTTCTGTTGTGTTAAAGGTATCATCTGGTTTTGCCTTAACTCCACAACTGTATATAATTTTAGATCATATGTTTAACAAATATTAAATCCAAATAGCCGGTACCTAACTTGGTGCAATATCTTTTTGGCTTTTTGTACAGGTCATATGAATTCATAAACTTATTTATTATATCATTGTTACATAATAAAGATTAATATATGTTAGCTGAATTTTTGACCTTTGGATTTTGGAAGTCACTTCATGCTATTTTTTTATTGGATATAATTATTATATGCAAAGTATAAGCTTTTGGGATTCACAGACACTGTCCTGGGAGCCAGGCAAACTGTCATAGTTTAGTCTGGCAGAATCCTAAAGGTAATCAGAATGATCTAGAAATAACCTATGCATTTTATTTAAAAAACATTTAGGCAGAAATCCTGGCTTCACTGAAGTTAGTGTTAAGAATCACATTGATTCCAAAGGATTTTGGATGAGACCTGTGCGTTAGGTTTTGCCATCGGTATTAAATTCCAGTGCAATCAAATTGAGTATCAATTAAAAATGATTTTCACATGAACTGCTAATGAAACCTCCATCCCTCACGCCCAAAATACACACTGAATTCGGTGGATATTTGTGCCTTGCAGTATCATGAAGGATATGATTCTAAATTAAAAAACTTGAGAAACATATTGGATGGAAGAATATCGAGCAATCTGGGACCTTCTCTAAAAGCCAGCTTAGGCTTGGAGTTGCTGTTTTAGGTAGTGTTTCCAACTTCTCCACCTTAGCCAAGTGCAGTGCATCATATTGCTCCAACTGCTGTCAGTGGGTAGTTCAATGATTTAAAGTCTAATGTATGGCTTCTTGATGCACCTGATAAAGGTGTCAGGGAATCAGTGGTACAGAATTGTGCCCAAATTCCTTATTTTTCTGGACCCAACGTACAGGATTTTGGGGGGAATTCAGGAAGATAGGTGGGTACATTTGCACTCCTATGGGATACGTCAGATGAGGAGGTCATTTCTCAGACACAGTATTGCTTCTGTACGGAACACTGCGGTTTGGGAGGAAGTGGAAAGACACAGCAAGGTGGCAAATGATTTACATCACTGAAAAATATAAAACAGTTTTCCATTATGAGTAACCAAAATGTATCACCACTGTACCCCCCCAAATTTGTGTGTGTGTATATATGTATATCTAAAAAACCCTGGGATTGCAGCACATTATATGCATGATATTATAAAAAGGTTATTTGTGATAAGAGTCTATTTCAGAGAGAAACATCAGTATTTTGTATAAAATTGGTAAAATCTGAAAGCTCACCTTACCCATTGATATATATGTAATGTAAAGGAAATATTGTTCCTACACAGACAGAAGAAAAATGGCATTAAAGGTGTCAGTATGCTTTTCAGAATGATCAAATGTATTGAATTTTCTTTAGTTTGTAAACGTATGATCTTTAAAAGCTGCCTTTAGCATTCAGCAATAATACTGAACTATCTTAATATACTGTTGATTTCCCCTTGGCAAAACATTTCTGATTGCTTCGGAGTCATTAACAGTTATTTATTTAAACTTTACCCAGAGAGTCGAGGAAGTTATTCAATTAAGGAGATACGTTCTGATGGAAATGTCCTAAATTTTTCTTCTCAGCCTCTAAAATTAGAATTGCCAACTAATTATTTTGCTAGTTAAAGGAAAAAGAAGTTTCAGAGGAGTCACTGTAAAGCACCTTGTGTAACCTTCACACAACGCTGAGCACCGGCTCGGGTGGCCTCTGGAGATGGGCAGCTGCCCAGCTGTTCACTTAGCTCACATTTAAACATTTTAATAATAATGACCTGTGGTTTTTAGACTACAATTTGAGCTACCTTCCAGATCTTGAGCTCATTTTCATTGTATTGTCCCATGCTTCAGTCATGTCAGTAGGAGTTTCTTCCAGAAGTGGCTTTCCGAGTAGGTCAGCTAGCCCAGATGGAGCTGGGACTGGGAACTAGCATTTTTCTTCTCTTTCCTCATTGCTTTTGCTTCTGTCTTCCCATGTTACTGCTACAGTAGTTTTCCTGTTCAGAAGCAACAGCTCAGGAGACACTTCAAATTTCAAAGGGTATTTAAGATTAGCGGTTTGATTTATTTTAAAGAACTTAAACCTCCATTGAGCTGCACTGTAAAGGTTAGAGCCGAATATCCATGCTACAGAACAAGCTGAGGATCTATACCCGCATCCTTCTACATATACCCGCTTTGCAGGCAACTTGGCAACTTACAGAGGTTGATTGTGCAAGAAAACTTTCTGGCCATGTATGGTAAAGATCAGAAAAAATGTTACTTTCTGAGAATAATGTATATATTGTAATTATCAGTGATCTCTTTACAAAGGAGATCAGTATTTTCACCGTTTAATCTAGATTTTATTTATATTTTATCCATATATAATTATAAAACTAAGGGGAAAAAAAAAAGAACCATATTGGCCTCCTCAGGTGATGTAGATGTTTTTGGTA